GCTCTGGGTGTACCAGAAACATTTGGTCCTGGGTCGAATCCCAGATCCTCTTAACTGAATATCATGGTTTATCGGTACCGTGCTTGTGCTCATGGGTTTCATCCAAGTGGTAAAATTGGTAAACCCTACTGGCTTCCTCCCATGTATAAAACGAAAAGCAAAATATAGTTTTCTGAATCCTGTTTTGAGTATATGCCACTGACCTACAATTCGAACTGTGTTAAACGAAAATCCAATATTTGAACAGTAACTTACAAGCCCTGTGGATGACTCATCTCCTTTCTAACATTGACACGTGAGGGTGTGTTCCTGGACATTCTCTCGCCAGATGGAAACCAAATTGGAATATATCTTGGTGTTTTTTACTTCTGTTCTAAAACATGTTCTGTAACCGTAAACCCTTCTCCATGAGTCATTTGAAATAACGTTTGTTTTTTAAGTATTAACAAATCATAAACCCGAAACCCTTAGCTTTATTTTCATTTAATCGGTAAAATATATTATGAAGTCAAGCATCACAAGGCGTGTTACTACATTTAGCTGTTCTTGTAGCCATTTTCCTTTTCACCTTACCGGGTTAGTCACAAAGACCTCGGTCCCTGTTTCCAGAATGACAGCTGTATCAGGTGTTCAACAGAACGCCCTTAATTGAAATGCAATTTCAGAGACCTCTTAAAGTGAAAAAAGACACCATTGCCCACATGACAAATTAGTTTTGAATACAGGGAATAAAAAGTGCACTTTGTGTGAGACCTTCTTTGCCTTGTGATGTCCACCTACTCTCGAACCATGTGCTGGAAAACACGACATTTACTGTTGACAGATGCATTGGTCCCAAGAGTAGGCCTACGTTTCAACAGAGGGACACCGTGTAAATAAAGTGAGCTTCTCTTGGTGGCATTACATCAGTAATATGCATCATGAATTGTGTTCCTTTCCTTCCGCCATCTTGCAATTTTACACACTCTCGAACCTTGTGATATAAATTAAAACGTGTTCACGTCTATGAGCTGATCCATTTGCCCTTAACATGATATGTAAGTTCTGTTGAAATTGAAACGTGCAATCTAGCACGTGGCTGAACAGCGACAGCTAATTGGTTAGTTAGGGACGTTTGTGTAGTTTTATTCACATCTTGAGACCAACCAATCTATTCGTTGCATCAACCTGTAATCTAATTGAACCTTTTGACAATCGTCTTAACTAGAAAGAAGTATTGTTTCTCGACAGCCTAAATTTGAGCAGGACACTGGTGTGACGTTTGTAAAGCCGCCTGCGTCTGTTCAGAAGTGGATTTCAACTCACTGTGTAAAAAATTGAATGAACGAACACTGGTACCAGACCGTCGGTCCTGGAATCCCATGAGGAAGTGCCTGTTACCTAAGACACAACCGGTAGTGACGCCTGAACTTCGGTGCCTTTCACTGTAACAGTAATGGTCTCATAAGGGACTAGATTCATCACTCTAATTGTGATATACTGAAGGAAAACTACTGCTGGATAGACCAATCAGTCTTCGACATCCACAAGGGAAACCCTGTCGCTCTGAATTCAACCGGAAGTGATGTCACCTCTCGCGTGGCTGTTCCTTGTTCGGTTAGCAACACTGGCCACTGTTCAGTACAACCGGTAACTGCCCAGCTTCTTGATACAAATGTGATATTACTCTCGAGAGACATTTGTTTTCTCAGATTGTACACCTGTGTGCGGGCGATGGGGTAGCCTAGTGGTTAAAGCGTTCGCTCGTCACGCCAAAGACCCGCCAAATTCCAACCATGGGTACAATGTGTGAGGCCCATTTCTGGTGTCCCCTGCTGTGATATTTCTGGAATATTGCCAAAAGCGGTGTGAAACAATGCTCAATTACTTACTTACACACTGTGTGTAAAACAAAGCTTCACATCTACACATTTCACAATGATGCCATGTCTGTCGAATTCCAGCTTGCCTGGTATCTGTTAGAGGCTCCGTTATTTATTTGTTGTTAGATGTTACGTGATGAAATGGGTTTTAACGTCACGTTCAAGGTTATTTTGTCACAAAGATGCGCGTGTGCGTGTGCGTGCGTGTGCCTGGTTAATATTGCTAACCTAATAGCCTATCATGCTCCGGGTTGATATGGATACCCCACTAAATATTTCACAATATTATGAATCCAAGCCGAACCATCTTTGTTCTATCCATTTAAAGTCGAACGCCAGAGAGTAACAAGAACCATTTTAACGTTATTTGGTATGAAGGCTAGGGGATCGAACCAGCGACCTTCGGCTCTTCGTCAGGCACTTTATCCTCAAGGCCACGGCGGCTTCTTTATAGGAGATGGCTAGGTCAGTGTCATTGGAGGGATGCTATATTAACCTATAAACAAGCTCGGGGAGCGCTACTAAAAGAGAGACAAGACTTAGGACTAGATCGTAGCATGAACTCATATGGGATTGCATCCTGAACATCGGACATTAAACCTCCGCGGGAATGGGGAAATCACATAAATTGCGCCGCAGTAGGTGGTATCGCTGCGAGATCGCTTTGATTAATAATCTTGGTGACTGGAATCCTCAAACTTGTCTTCATATCAAGTCCTCGATAGAAAACGCTGACAAGGAAACAAATGGCGCTTCTTCCCACGACCGTTAGTGTTCCTCCACATCTTTCTGTGTATAGGATCGATAAAATGCTCCCACCACCATTTACTCCAACCCATAGATGTAAATTGATTTTTTCCCCCGTTTTATTGGAATCGCAGAGTTTTTATGTTTGGTAAGAATAGTAACTTAGTCTCTGGTGGAACGGTATCTGGAGCGTTGGTCAAGAATCATTGTCGTTATTCCAAAGTCTTGTATCCTGTACTTTGCAACGTGTTTCCAAACACTGAAATATGTGACAATTTTTACTCAATAACATTTGTTTTGCTGGACATTTTTTATGGTCTTAGGCAAACATCATCTTGATTGTTTTTAACACCGTACTCAGCAGTATTCTAAATGTGTGATGGCGGCTTGTAAATAATGGTGTATACCATTGACATCAGTTATTAACATCAGTCATTAACATCAGTCATTGACATCAGTTATTGACATCAGTCATTGACATCATGAACATCGATCTAAGCAGTTACGTTGAGATGCTTCAGTCTGGCCACCCGCCTCTTACGACAAGCATGACTTCCTTAAGACCAACCCGTGAATATACGGATTAGAATTGATCTTCAGTAACCCATGCTTGTCGTAAAGGCGACTAACGGGATCAGATCGTCAGGCACGCTGACTTGGTTGACACGTCATCGTATCCCAGCTGCGTAGATCGATGCTCATGTTGTTGATTACTGGATTGTCTGGTCCAGACTCGATTATTTACAGACCGTCACTATATAGCTGGAATATTGCTGAGTACGGAGTAAAACTAAACTCACTCTCCTAAAGATCAATTCTAACCGCGATCACCTCAGGAATGAAATATGTCACAGGAATATGACACGTGGCCTTGTCATAAAGTGAGAGACACTTAGAATGTCTGTAACGTTCCTTATCTTTCACGGCAACACATTTCTAATTACCTTCGACAAGCTCTGTGCAGAAAGTTGACACCGAATAGTCTTCAGTCTTCCACAACCAAATATGGCTACAAGTCTCCGATGACCAAGTTAACCCCGATGGCAAAGGAATCCTCTCTTAATACCTGTTTAGAAAACGTGCCATTCAAGACTTTGCGATGTTTTTCCACGACAAGATGCCTTAATGAACGTCAAGACGGCAATAACGATGTCTTGTGTAGAGGATGAAAAAATGTATGGTCCAGTAATAGATTCTACAAGGAAATAATGACTTTAGAACCAACCGTGGCCAGATAATTGGCGTTTGGACGGACCCTCATGCAGCCTGTTACTGTAATCTTTCGGTTAGCCCACAGCTCAACATAATCCTCTTAGGAGGTCTAAAATAGACCAAACGTCACCTTAACGGTAACAATGGAATCGCACTCAAGGGCTTGTTCAAAACTGCGAGGTCGAACGATTACGTCCAAAGTCATCCTTCAAGGTCGCTAATGCTAAATTACCGTGATTGCGACCAGCAACGTTTCCCCGCCGCGGGCAAATGGCGTTTGTTTGTCATTGCCTTGATTGCTCCCCGTCCCCGGTCCGTGGTATGTGGGTCAGGTCTGAGTACAGCAGCGACCGGGACGACGGACTGGGGCCCTATTGATCCGTCTCTCCATCATTCCTCGGGTACTGATCGCTGGAAGAGAGGCCATGATCGACAATGCCATCACATGCACCGCTGCATCGTTCAGTCGGCTCTTCATCTCATTTAACATCGATCACTTATGGAAATGGGACATTTTACCCACTCGTTTACCTCTGTTGTGTTGTAAATGCTGGCTTTTTGAACACGGAAAATGATTGCGAATGTATACGAAAGAAAGTCTGGAAGGAGAGCGCCGTATTTTCTTGATTGACAAGCTGAATAATCTAGTCTCATTGGCGAGTAAATTGTACCCCAGTTCCACTAAGATTGTATTAAGGAGGGTTGTACGACTTAAAAGGGGTCTAAAGATACCACGAGAAGTGGAATCTAAATTAAGACCCGGTGGCAAAGCCAATATGGAGCGGTAATTATATTTATTCCGCTTATCCAATTTAAACTTGGTTAAAAAGATGTTTTTATTCTGGGCCCAAAACGACCTGTTGAGGTGTTTTGTCAACTAATAGCTAATGCAACACCACGAAGTTTATTATCAAAGTGGGTAGTATTTTTGGTTTCAACCATCATTTCCAATAATCACAACGTCCATTAGTACCGGCGGGGGTGATGTGTAGATGTAGATGTTGATGTAGGGCATATGATACGTTGTTTTGGTTTGCTTCGAGTGCAAACGATGAGTTTATCAACTGTTGCGTTTTCCACACAGACGGAGACTGTTTAATGGAGACTGGAGCTGACGTAATCCAAAACATTTACTTGACGAACGTTTTGCTTACGATAATTTTTTATATTTATTTTCAGGATTCTCGGAGAGAAATATGTGTGGCGAAGAGCTCGACGTCTTTACAACCAAGGTTGGTCGACACTGGATTTCTTACACACGTTACCGGACACTTCATCAGTTCATCAGCCCCGATCGAGGATATAAAGGAACAATTTTCATAAATACTATAGCGTTCATTAGGATAATTCGTTCCAGCTCACAAGCCCCAACTTGGAATAATCAATAAACATAAATACATTCATTGTTTTTCATTATACATTTACTGCAGACTACCTTAAGTAATCTCGATTGGGGCAATTATTTGTAATTAACTGGCAACCAGCCATAGCGTTGAAACGGAAAATGTGATAGATAAGTGATCTCGAACACTGTAGTGTTATAGCCCTGAACGAGTATATCAAATGGTTAAGGTTTACATACGGTACCCCATTTAGATGAGGAGTTCCACGTCCTTTGAGACTGGAATATAAAAGACGTCTGTGTGTTGGCGCCTTTGTTTGCGTCCGTAACATATGTGTATGTGTGTTAGCAGTTGCGTCTGCGTCTATGCACAAGCATACCTTCAGATATTTTTTGGCATTGTGCCAATACTCGATTAATTGATTTTGGGCCATGCAACACTTAAATTCTACTGTCTTAAATTTCATCTGTTCAACACTCTCTTCTGACAAATATATCCTTTGTAAACTCGATCAGGGCATTGAATTACGGCTCTTGATTCTCAGGGTTTAAGAATTAGGAGTTTATTTGAAGTGGACAGATGGGTATAAAACATAGTATGGTATCCATGGTGACTGTAAAACATGCTCTGATGGACATGATGGCAGATGAATCGGTCAATAGGTCATGTGATCTGGAAGCCGCTGCAATTCGTGTAGAAACATGAACCAATTTAAAATTTCAATTACAGCGGTTGGTAACACATTTGAACTATTTCAGCAATGAATGTGAACATCAACTCTTTCACATGAATCCTGAATAGGGATTCTTGGAATTTATTCAGATGAAAGATTCTGTGAAGTGACAAAATCTTATTAAAATCACCAAAAAAGATTAATTGTTATTTCAATTCCAGTCATATTTGCTTAACATTAAAGCTGATATTGAACTTTATTAAATTCGAAATCTTCCCTCTCAATTACTTCCTGGTTCATGAGCTGAGATTAATAATGAATTTCTGAAAACATATCCATGAGATTCATATTTGTAATATCGCCATACAGTTATAGCTTCTGCTCTTCAAGAGTCTGTGTTTATGCAATGCCTTTTCTTTAAGCAACAGGATTAAGTATAGTTCCATGCTTGGCATTTTCAATCTGGTCACTGATTCACCAATTCCATTGATTTGTCAGTATGGGGTGAATTGTTGCAGAAACTAACTCTCCGTTTCCTATTTCAGGCCAAGGATGTGCTCGTCTGTTATTCCGCTTGCTACTTCTCTGCTCTGCTGGTGGTCGTCAGCTTGGTAGGTGTCACCATGGTTACAAGACAATAATGGAATTGCTGGGTTACCATTCCTCGCAGAACAATAATTTATTTAATGACAGATTGCATTGAATGTGGGTAAATATTTACCAGGGAGATTGATTGAGTGGATTGTCTATTTATCTTATTTGCAATTCGGAATGACAAGAATACTCACTGCACTTCAGATCAAACGAACAAAAGTGTAACAAAACGCCCATTGTGGAGATTCCTTCCACGTCTTGGCTTTGACCAGAGGCGGAAAGACGACTGATTAAGTGTATATAATACTCCTAATATATCTCGCTATCACAAGTATGATATCCTAACATAAGGGCCCTGTTTTCTCTATCACCTGCCCCAATTGAGGATGCATAAGTAGCCGTGTTTAATTTTGTAGAGTTACAGGGATGGGTCTGTGAGTCTTATGGAGAGTATTACAAAGATTTTATTCTGTGTGGTGCAGCATCTTCTGGTCCACTGAAGAATATTTTTTTCTGCCATTATCAATTACTTTGACTTCAACCATTTCCAGACTTAATCTGTTTATATTGCACCTTTCTGAAGCTAATTGTATATCCACGTTGAGTCTTGGATGTCATTGGCGAAAGATGAAAGAGATCGGTTGTGCATCAGTGTGATTGAGTTAAGGTTTAAGGTAATTTTAGGTCGTTTATATCAAGATGTCTCAGTACAGGGATAGCCTGAAGCCATGCAGGTCTTGGATTTTTACCATTTTGTTGAATCCATACGGCACCGAAAGGCCCAAGATAAGAAGATAGCTAATGTGAGGTTTGAATCTATGAGATTATCTTTGAACTAAATTCATGTTGTTGATAAGTTGGCGGGGTTTATTAAGCATCTAGATTTCCATTTTTTCTTTGTATGATTTTGGATATGTCCCCCAATTTTTTTTAGAAATTTAAATATGTAATTTTACGAATCAGCTGTCTCTTACTCCTCACCTTGACTAGCCACTGACTAGTACTATCCAATACAGGGGTAATTTTAGTTCGATAATTACCTTATATAACTTCAAAGAGCACTTGGTCAATGTGTGATAATATGATTATTCTGCTAGACACCTGGCATGGCCTGATTCTATTGATGTAGCGGAAGAATCAATACATACATTTGCGCATAGACCTTATGGACATCATAGAGATGAGTTATGTCAGTGGTAATTGCTTCCGATAAATGGTCCATTCTAGAATTATTCTCGTAATCTGTCTCTTCATACAATTTTAATGAATATCAGAATAGGACCATGGTAGTTTATGATATGTACTTCAGATGACTATGAATACACAGATAAGGATACAATAGGTTTTGTGAAGAAATAAAGACAACAGTGGGACTGTGTTTTGGTTCAAGTGTGGTATTAGTAACTCCACCTGTGGTATAATTAACTCCACCTGTGGTATAAGTAACTCCACCTGTGGTATTAGTAACTCCACCTGTGGTATTAGTAACTCCACCTGTGGCATAAGTAACTCCACCTGTGGTATAAGTAACTCCACCTGTGGTATTAGTAACTCCACCTGTGGCATAAGTAACTCCACCTGTGGTATAAGTAACTCCACCTGTGGTATAAGTAACTCCACCTGTGGTATAAGCAACTCCACCTGTGGTATTAGTAACATCCTTCTGTGGCATAAGTAACTCCACCTGTGGTATAAGTAACTCCACCTGTGGTATTAGTAACTCCCTTGGCTATAGGCTCCACCTAATAAGTAACTCCACCTGTGGTATTAGTAACTCCACCTGTGGTATAAGTAACTCCACCTGTGGTATAAGTAACTCCACCTGTGGTATTAGTAACTCCACCTGTGGTATTAGTAACTCCACCTGTGGTATAAGTAACTCCACCTGTGGTATTAGTAACTCCACCTGTGGTATAAGTAACTCCACCTGTGGTATAAGTAACTCCACCTGTGGTATAAGTAACTCCACCTGTGGTATAATTAACTCCACCGTGTGGTATAAGTAACTCCACCTGTGGTATAAGTAACTCCACCTGTGGTATAAGTAACTCCACCTGTGGTATAAGTAACTCCACCTGTGGTATTAGTAACTCCACCTGTGGTATAAAGCAACTCCACCTGTGGTATAATTAACTCCACCTGTGGTATAATTAACTCCACCTGTGGTATAAGTAACTCCACCTGTGGTATAAGTAACTCCACCTGTGGTATAAGTAACTCCACCTGTGGTATAATTAACTCCACCTGTGGTATAATTAACTCCACCTGTGGTATAAGTAACTCCACCTGTGGTATAAGTAACTCCACCTGTGGTATAAGTAACTCCACCTGTGGTATAAGTAACTCCACCTGTGGTATAAGTAACTCCACCTGTGGCATAAGTAACTCCACCTGTGGTATAAGTAACTCCACCTGTGGTATAAGTAACTCCACCTGTGGTATAAGTAACTCCACCTGTGGTATAAGTAACTCCACCTGTGGTATAATTAACTCCACCTGTGGCATAAGTAACTCCACCTGTGGTATAAGTAACTCCACCTGTGGTATAAGTAACTCCACCTGTGGTATAATTAACTCCACCTGTGGTATAAGTAACATCCTTCGTGGCATAAGTAACTCCACCTGTGGTATAAGTAACTCCACCTGTGGTATAAGTAACTCCACCTGTGGTATAAGTAACTCCACCTGTGGTATAAGTAACTCCACCTGTGGTATAAGTAACTCCACCTGTGGTATAAGTAACTCCACCTGTGGTATAAGTAACTCCACCTGTGGCATAAGTAACTCCACCTGTGGTATAAGTAACTCCACCTGTGGTATAAGTAACTCCACCTGTGGTATAAGTAACTCCACCTGTGGTATAAGTAACTCCACCTGTGGTATAAGTAACTCCACCTGTGGTATAAGTAACTCCACCTGTGGTATAAGCAACTCCACCTGTGGTATAAGTAACTCCACCTGTGGTATAAGTAACTCCACCTGTGGTATAAGTAACTCCACCTGTGGTATTAAGTAACTCCACCTGTGGTATAATTAACTCCACCTGTGGTGCATAAGTAACTCCACCTGTGGTATTAGTAACTCCACCTGTGGCATAAGTAACTCCACCTGTGGTATAAGTAACTCCACCTGTGGTATAAGTAACTCCACCTGTGGTATAATTAACTCCACCTGTGGTATTAAGTAACTCCACCTGTGGTATAAGGTAACTCCACCTGTGGTATAAGTAACTCCACCTGTGGTATAAGTAACTCCACCTGTGGTATAAGTAACCTGTGGTATAAGTAACCTGTGGTATAATTAACTCCACCTGTGGTATAAGTAACTCCACCTGTGGTATAAGTAACTCCACCTGTGGTATATAAACCAGTAACTCCACCTGTGGTATAATTAACTCTCCACCTGTGGTATTAGTAACTCCACCTGTGGTATTGGTAACTCCACCTGTGGTATAAGTAACTCCACCTGCGTGGTATTGGTAACTCCACCTGTGGTATTGGTAACCTCACCTGTGGTATTGGTAACTCCACCTGTGGTATTGGTAACTCCACCTGTGGTATTGGTAACTCCACCTGTGGTATTGGTAACTCCACCTGTGGTATTGGTAACTCTCACCTGTGGTATCAGTAACTCCACCTGTGGTATCAGTAACTCCACCTGTGGTATTGGTAACTCCACCTGTTGTATTGGTAACTCCACCTGTGGTATTGGTAACTCCACCTGTGGTATCAGTAACTCCACCTGTGGTATTGGTAACTCCACCTGTGGTATTGGTAACCTCACCTGTTGTATTGGTAACCCCACCTGTGGTATTGGTAACTCCACCTGTGGTATTGGTAACTCCACCTGTGGTATTGGTAACTCCACCTGTGGTATTAGTAACTCCACCTGTGGTATTGGTAACTCCACCTGTGGTATTGGTAACTCCACCTGTGGTATTGGTAACTCTCACTCCAACCTGTGGTATTGGTAACTCCACCTGTGGTATTGGTAACTCCACCTGTGGTATTGGTAACTCCACCTGTGGTATTGGTAACTCCACCTGTGGTATTGGTAACTCCACCTGTGGTATTGGTAACCTCACCTGTGGTATTGGTAACTCCACCTGTGGTATTAGTAACTCCACCTGTGGTTGGTTAGTAAACTCCACCTGTGGTATTGGTAACTCCACCTGTGGTATTGGTAACTCTCACCTGTGGTATTGGTAACTCCACCTGTGGTAACTCCAACTCCACCTGTGGTATTGGTAACTAACCTGTGGTATTGGTAACTCCACCTGTGGTATTGGTAACTCCACCTGTGGTATTGGTAACTCCACCTGTGGTATTGGTAACATCACTGTTGGTATTGGTAACTCCACCTGTGGTATAAGTAACTCTACCTGTGGTATTGGTAACTCCTACCTGTGGTATTGGTAACTCTACCTGTGGTATTGATAACTCCACCTGTGGTATTGGTAACTCCACCTGTGGCATGTGGTATTGGTAACTCTACCTGTGGTATTGGTAACTCCACCTGTGGTATTGGTAACTCTACCTGTGGTATTGGTAACTCTACCTGTGGTATTGGTAACTCTACCTGTGGTATTGGTAACTCTACCTGTGGTATTGGTAACTCTACCTGTGGTATTGGTAACTCTACCTGTGGTATTGGTAACTAACTCTTGTGGTATTGGTAACCTGTGGTATTGGTAACTCCACCTGTGGTATTGGTAACTCTACCTGTGGTATTGGTAACTCTACCTGTGGTATTGGTAACTCTACCTGTGGTATTGGTAACTCTACCTGTGGTATTGGTAACTCCACCTGTGGTATTGATAACATCACCTGTTGTATTGGTAACTCCACCTGTGGTATTGGTAACTCTACCTGTGGTATTGGTAACTCTACCTGTGGTATTGGTAACTCTACCTGTGGTATTGGTAACTCTACCTGTGGTATTGGTTACTCTACCTGTGGTATTGGTAACGCTACCTGTCGAATGAGTTATTGTTATTTCAACTGTAATCTGATACACATAAACAGAGTGCTGAGATACATCAGTGGGGACAATATCATAATAAGAAAGTTCCCTAGAATTATTCAGGTCTAAGCTCATGCAGTTATGAAGCTCCTTGCCTGAAAGTGTTTCGACCAAATGCTGACCAGTCCTCTCCTTGTTGCAGATCCACTTCCTGATCTCGATCAGCGCTAACATCACTCACCTGAAGGACAACCGGTTCGTCACGCTTAACGCCTACGACACTGAGGAGCATTCCAAACACTCCGTCCTGGACACCAACATGTAGTCACACCCAACAGTGGTTGGATAGAGTGCAATATTTTTCAAAAGAAACTTTACACCGTGCCTGAGACCTGAGTGCAACATCAACAGCTGCAGACTCTAGGGGGACATAGCAATAACAAGCCAGTTGGGAGCAGTCCAGGACCTACAGCAACACCACAGGAACATACTGGAGGAGGTCCTGTTGGACGATATTGGAGGTCCTTGTGGATTACTTTGGAGGTCCTTGTGGATTACTTTGGAGGTCCTTTTGGAGCAAATTGAAGGTCCTTGTGGATTACTTTGGAGGTTTTCGTGAAATGTTTAAGAGGTCCTTGTGGAACATGCTTGAACAGCTAGATGTGCTTGTGGAATAACTGGGAGTGCCTAGAAGAGCTTGTGGAATACTTGGGTACATCTGATAATGCTTGTGGAACATCTGGCAGAATGTAGCAGAGCTTGGGGAGGATATGGTAACATCTAGAGCTTGTTAAACATCTGGAGATCTGTGTGTAACATCTCGTAAAGGTCTTCGGCATTGATGAGTCTCATGGCATTTCTGGTCCTTGTTGTACATCTATGAGACCTTGTTGTACACTTGGAGAATCCTCTGTCAAATCTGTAGTGCTTGATACATATGCTTGTGGGTGGAGGTGAAGGTCAACAGGATATTGTTACATGGAGTGATTAACTTCAGGATCTTAGAAGATCCATTTGTGCTGTCTGGACCATGGATATTTAGTGAAGAAAATAAACTTTGTTTATCTTACGGAGACATACCTTGAGTTTGACAAGAGGACATTTGAAGGGTGTGTGGAACTACCTCGTGGGTTCTGTTCAAATTATCTTTTACAGAAAGCATTGCCTATCTGGATATTATCCCTCATTACATGAGAAAAGGAGTCCGGTGAGATCATTACACGGACATTAAGGATGAACACTGTGACTTTATAGCATTATCTTCACGTTTCTGGAAAGGACAATATTTATAGACACATAAGGAATGGCTTATGCTAAATGACACCAAAATCTATTTTGAATCACTATCCAAGATGATTGGTCTCCATGGTCATCTGGGAGATTCTCTATCACTGCCCGCAGCACTGTATGTGGATTATATGTGCCAAGAAACTGAAGTGGTCTTGCATGACCACAACACCTCTTCATACAACCATCAACACACCTCCGACAGATTGCACTGAAATCAGACATCTTGACATTCATCTGCTCCCAAGTTGTCCCCCTTTTCGTGGGATCAAAGAGCCTGTCTCTATCAACCCACTCATGTTCATCCCAAAACAGGTCAAGGTCAAGGTCACGGTGACAGAAGTCAACCTGCACAAAAATCAGTTCCACTGATGACTCTTACATGTGACCATTTTAACTACACATTTCCATACAAGTGTTTTCTATGTCTGTAGGCTGACTTACATGATGTTAGTGCTTGGCGTGATCGGCCATTTTGTTCTAGTTTTTTTAATGGTCCTGTTGATACTTTTGCTCAACTTGCCAGCAGACGTCTCCAGAAATACTCAAATCTGATGTTGGACACATCTCCATATGAGGACGCTATTACTCAAGAATCATTGTGCATGGTTTATACTGAAACGCGAAATGAGAATCGGAGATAGTTGGTACCAGGGCAGCAAATGGATGCCTTGATTTTTTAACAGAGTGTTGACAGTAGAGGAAATGATATCACTAGTCATGCTGTTTCTGTTTCAATCTGCTGTCTCTGTGTTCATGTAGCTATTGTTCACATTATCCAAGTCTACATGTTATTGTATGCCAAATCTATACAGCATGTGCCTATATATCCAGCTTAATTTGCCCATAATGGAAATCCGGAAACAAAAATTCAACCAAGGAAACATGTAAATAGGTGCTTTTTATACTAACCAAGTACGAAAGTATAGAAATAGAAAGATATCGTTGTTACAAATCAAACCGAAATTGTTAAGTCTTTTGCAGTAGCAATACTACAAGATTAATCCCAAAGGATGATGGGCCTATGCAAAACAAAACTAATGTAAAAAGGTAAATGTTGTTCATTTTATAATATTTGTCTCATGTTAGTTATGAAGTTTTTATAATAAATATTCAATAAATCAAATAAATAAAATCAGGGTATTTGTCTGCAGGTTATCAAAGATTAAGGCGAGGGTATTCAATCGGTTTGTTAATAAATAAATAAATAGATAAATAAATACTTTCAGTGTGCAGATTTGCATGAATTTGCAATATCAAAACAATTTGGGGTAGTTATGTTTGGCAGATATCAAACAGTTTCTGATTCTTTTTAGCTGTGATGTCATATATGACAAATCATCCCAATATCCAAAAAGTAAGCCAGAAATATGAAACTTTAAGATGTTCAAGATATCTTGATATGGACCCAGTCCATCTACAAAAACAGCTAATTTATTACCAATTTAATGCTATAACATGTCAAGCGAACTATCCTACCACAATAAGAAGAATGTGATTTTTAGTAACGGAATATATTGTGCCTGTTGGTAGACATATAGGATTGCTGAAAGAAGCATGGGTGATACACTTAGGGTATAGCCATTGGAGAGAGGCTGTTCAGATTGCTTGTTGAAACAGGCCCCACCGTTTCATTTTTGAAACTGGTTGAATTATATTTTGATATTTAAACCGATTTTGATATTAAATTTGGATTGATGAAGTATCCACTGCTGATTGGCTCTCCTCGCCTCCATATTGTTTCCTTATGCAAAATTGTTGCTTTTGCGCAGTTGGTTTCCGTGTAGCCAGATATAGAAAAACTAATATATGGTCAGATAGATAAGTATTTAAACCGTAACTTTTTATTACAAAATTCTATTTTTCTTTTGCATGTGTAAGTAATAAATATTACTGTAAAATTTCTACTAACAGTTTATTGTTTACATATATATGGGCATAGATAAAGGATCTTTTATACATGAAACATTTTGGTTAGAATGATTGTAAGGTAGATAAAATGAATTATATATTTAATATTTTAACATTTTTAGATTGAACAATCTTATGTGAATACTTATATCATTGAATATTTATGAAACATCTGACTTAATAGCGCCATTTATTTATTGAAAGATTATTGTACATAAAATGATCCATCATGAATCTCAAGAACCCTGTCCTCATTTGGACGATTTTGTACAATAACTATTAGCCTGGTATGAACGCTGACATAGATCTGAAAACTCGTGTACAATATTCAGAGTATTTACTGGTAGATTTTTGTAATTTATAGAAAAAATCAATCATTAATTATGTGTAAATAAGATAAACAGTATTAAACTTGAATATTTAGATAAATATGTAACAGGTAGACACTGATCAGAATTAAAAGCTGTAGTCATAATAAAATTAGTTCTACTTAAACTAGATTACATGCGGTCATGTTTACATCTACGTGTTCATAGTATTTACATAGTGAAAGTAGTCCTAGCAGAGACAGAAAAAAAACCAAGTGTATGTGGTGTGTGTTCTGCGATAACTACATCAAATGTTTACATAGATAATTTTTTTGAAGAAATTCATCCAGTCATCTCTCCATCAACACTTCACTGACTACACAAGAAAATATGAGAAAAAAGAATATCAACGAATATTCATGACATCTTAGAAAGGTAGGTCGACGGAAAGATACCACTAGGATTCATGTTTATTTCTTAGTAGAAATTTTACAGCATTTATTTTTATATTTTCAATCCTGTCATGGCACCCTGATATTGTTGGTGTTTTGTAATTTGTATGATATTTGTACTGTTGAGTATTATGACACCATTTTATCATTGTTACATCTATTACTATTGTACACTGACAAGGAGGGCTGCTTTGGTTGGGCTACCTTGGAGGGAGACCATGCTCTCAGCAAGACTAGCCTGAATAATCAGGTCTCATCATGCAATGATTGATGAGCATCAAGAATGAATTCAGAGTTTAAATATTTATCTTTTGTTAATAATTTTTAATTATGATAAGGCCATATAATACTTTTAATCTCATCCTGATGTCAATATTCTTGTTTTGGTTTTAAAACCTGTGCATGTTTACAATCATCCTCGATGTGATTTTTCGTGTTTACAAGTATGATCATGTTCATCATAATAATAATATTGTGTTTTTAAATATGATGCAAAACCTGAGACAAAATGGCCAAACAATGAGAACATTGAGAAGCATATATCTTAAGATGAAAACAATAATTAATGTTTTTATACTGAATATTTTAGACATTGCCAGATTATGTCAGTTATCTTGGTTTAGAAGCTGCGGCTTGTGACGGGCATGGTCTCTCCTGACGGGTATGCAGTAAGATATATTTGTGTAGTGTCAATGATGTAAAAGGTCAGTCTTGTGGTCAGTGTACATCCTCTGGTCAAACTGAAGACATCAATGACGTCAGGGAAGAAATGTCGCAGTGCATTTTCAAATCTGGTTTTGTGAAATGTTCTGGTTGGACTGATTCAGTTTTGGAATTTTTTTATGTTTGGCATAGCTGCAAATGTCAAACTGTTCATTCATTTTCATGTTCATATCCACTGTGTTCAAAATGTGATGTCACAAACTGATATTGAATTGTTTGTGAACAATTGGCACGCAAATAGTGTCATTCAATGTAGAATTATCTGAAAATATATATTAATGAACCTTTAATAACGAAATTGAGACCACCAGTTCTTGGTACTCTTAAATCTGGTTGACATAAGATGAAAAATTAACAAAAAGGAATCTAATAGCTCTACCACATTTCATTTTAGTAAAGTCAATCCACAATTTGTATATTACCTGAATTCCTTTCCAGATTAATTTCCCACTCCAACTTTTAGTATAAACTGACAGTCATGATGAAATTGTGATCATGACAAAAACAGCTTTTCAAAAAGTTTAACTGGAAGAAACTGACAGTAAAAGACATTCAACGACATCCAAGTCTGAGTGTGCATTGTGACATTTCTGAATGGTCTGGTATAGGGTGTAGAGAGAGATGTTTGACTGCTTGCATCGTTAGTGGTAGCAGTGCTGTTTAGAGCTCAACATTCTATTTTCCCTATTGCTGTTATTCCCTGTTATAGCACAGCCGTCAGTATTTCTTGTTGAGGTTGGTTATGTACAAACTTGTTGAATGATGTTTCCATTGTCTAGATGTAGTACTTAGTCCGCGACTGTAGAACTGTGCTCAATCATATATATACATAAGCTCAAGAAAAAAAAAAATTCACTTTCAAAAAGATCTACTCAATGTTGTGAGAAAGGAAAAAAGTGATTTTTCCTGCTCATGGTTGTGGAATGAGACATCACTAAACTCAGACATTTTCAATATCCTACTAAAATAATCAAAATGAGTTTATTCCATATTGTCAGTGTTCACTGTTAATTTAACACATAGATGGTTTGAAATACACGTTATGATTTAGGCACCAGTACAATGACTGTCAAATACAAAGTGGCATAGGAACTGGTAGAATCAGCTTAAAAATACAAATACAAAATAACTGGGAGATTCCTTATATTTTTATAATTTTGTTCTTTTATGAACTTGTGTAAAAGTTGTAATGAAAAATTGTCATTGAAAAGCCAAAAAATAGGTATTTGGCCAGCTAGCAAAAAACGTTTTTAGGAGTGTTTTAGAAAGTTGATTAATTGTGAGTGTTTGGTCTCCTATGCCCGTGTATTCACGATGCCCACTGTGTTATAAGCACATCCATCATTTCTTGTGCTATTTCATAAGGGTCATATGTTTTCATCGTTCATGTTTTTTTTATCTAGAATTGTCTCAAGGTTTCATGTGTTTAAATAAAATCTTATGAATAAATGTGGTTCTGGTCTTATTTACTAATGATGTTGATCACTGGATTATCTGGTCCAGACTCGATTTATTTACAGATTGCGACCATATAGCTGGACTGACTGACTGAGTTTGGTTTTACGCCGCTTTTAGCAATATTCCAGCAACATCACGGCGGGGGACACCAGAAATTGGCTTCACACATTGTGCCCATGTGGGGATTCGAACCCGGGCTTGGTCGTGACGAGCCAACGCTTTAACCATTAGGCTACCCCACCCCCACTATATAGCTGGAATATTGCTGAGTGCAGTGTTGAACAACAAACCAACTAACCAATCTTGAGAGTGATGTCTGTTGTTTTATTGTTAAAGAACCCATTCTGCAATATTTCAGCTGTATTGTAAAAAGTAAATAATGGACATTGACCAGTCTGCTTCATAGACAAGCCAGTGATCAATGTTATGGGCAATCATTAATAAAAACCTATGTACACAATTTTAAACATGACAGGATTTATTATCACAGCAGATGTTGAGAAACATTGGTTTTATGTCCAAGAAAAGGAGCCTGTCATCTGGCTTGACCACAGGTTGTCAAGCCACACAGTGACAAGGTACATGAAGGTCGACTGTATTGGTCTGCTGAGCTGTTCAGTCTTCTTCTGATGATTCTTCCTCTGCCTCCTGAAGCCATGTGATCAGAGGGGCAACCTGAAACATGTCACCATGTGATGAATAAGGCAACCAAGGTCAACTTCAAACATGTGACCCATGTGATGAATAAGGCAACCTGAAACTTGTGACCATGTGATGAGTAGGGCCATCAAGGGCAACCTGAAACATGTGACCCATGTGATGAGTAGGGCCATCAAGGGCAACCTGAAACATGTGACCCATGTGATGAGTAGGGCCATCAAGGGCAACCTGAAACATGTGATGAGTAGGGCCATCAAGGGCAACCTGAAACATGTGACCCATGTGATGAGTAGGGCCATCAAGGGCAACCTGAAACATGTGACCATGTGATGAGTAGGGCCATCAAGGGCAACCTGAAACATGTGACCCATGTGATGAGTAGGGCCATCAAGGGCAACCTGAAACATGTGACCATGTGATGAGTAGGACCATCATGTGATGAGTGGGGCCATGAACCTGAAGGGCCATGTGAGGGCAACCTGAAACATGTGACCATGTGATGAGTAGGGCCATCAAGGGCAACCTGAAACATGTGACCCTGTGATGAGTAGGGCCATCAAGGGCAACCTGAAACATCTGACATGTGTGATGAATGGGTCTATCTGGAGAGCAAAATTTGCTGGGACAAATTCTAAGTTGGTGTGACCATAATAGCATTGGTTTTGGACTGCCACTAGGAAATTACATAGTGAAATACCTGATACAAGTGGGGACCCATCAAGAATAAAACGAGTGAATCATGTAATTTATCAAGTCCTAGGACGCTAGGGACTATTCTGCTCCAGGAACAAATAAGGCTTGCTAAGGGCCATTCAGCCCCCGAATACCTGATTTGTCTGATAGCGGGTACAACCTGAGCATGAAGCTGAACATTTTCCATGGTCTCACCTTCTTTCTGATGTCCTTGTGAGCATCAAGATCAGCATCAGGTTCGGGGTCAGCTTTGTGCCACTTGATGAGGACCTGCTCGTCCAGGATCTCCTGGTCGTACAGGAAGTGCAGCAGCTTGACCACAGCACACGACACAGCGCTGTTAGACTCGCACAGCTCCTGGTAGAGAGGGAAGAACACACTCACCTCACGTTGTTATAAAGGCAGTTAGAGAAAGGTGATCCAGCCTTGCAGTTAGTATTCTATTATTACTCTTTAAAGAATCTAGCTATTTGAGTGGCCAGTTGGTCAAATCCCATAGAAATCAGTTGGCCAACCAGCAAGCATAGCCTGACATCATGTTTGATGTGACTGACTGACTGACTGAGTTTGGTTTAACCCCGCTTTTAGCAATATTCCAGCAACATCACGTCGGTTGACACCAGAAATGGGCTTCACACATTGTACCCATGTGGGGTTTCAAACCCGGGTCTTTGGCGTGACGAGCAAACGCTTTAGCCATTAGGTTACCCCACCGCCCCTGTTTGATGTGAAGCCCTTTGCAATGTGAATCTTTTCAGCTTGTCTGTATTCCAAAAGTTAACACAGTTAGTTACTGTTATCACTAATAGATATGTGTTATAGAAATGTACTATTAAATATTATCATTTTTACTTGCTTGACATGTCACAGCTGACTCTGTTTGCACTGGGAGTTTAAATGTTGAATGCGTGATATGAGCCACATGATAAATTTAATCTTTGGTCTTGAGGAGTACAAAACCCATTCAGCTCTTAAAACCCTGTACAACTTGTGACACAGTTTTAGTTGGTTGGTATTTAACACCGCACTCCAAAATATTCCAGCTGTATGACTGCGGTCTGTTAATAATTGAGTCTGGTCCAGACAATCCAGTGATCAACAGCATGACTGACTGACTGAGTTTAGTTTTACGCCGCTTTTAGCAATATTCCAGCAATATCATGGCGGGGGACACCAGAAATGGGCTTAACACATTGTGCCCATGTGGGGAATCGAACCAGGGTCTTCTGCGTGACGAGCCAACGCTTTAACCACTAGGCTACCCCACTGCCCTCAATCTACACAACTGGGATACGATGATGTCGTCTCTTATGGCAAGCATGGGTTAATGGAAGACCAATTCTAACCCGAATCTTCACAGGTCCAACACAGTTTTAATGAGTTTTCAAATAAGGGACATCTACTTGATTGTCTCCTTCAATTAACACATAATTATGATGACACACTATAAAAGAGATAAAGGCTATGATTTCAATAACATTTGCATTAATATTTCACAGAGTTTGATGACACTGAATAAGATTCCAACTTAAACAAGGCTTGTGTGATGCTGTGGCATGCTGGTCAAGACTCACCTCCACAGCTTGCAAACAGTCAAACTGAGCTTCCGCACATTTGATGTAGTTTTTGATAAGGGCACTGTGTTTGGACAAATACTGAAATAACAATGGTAAGATATTACACCTAAAAGCAATAGTAAGCGAAATGTATATTTAAACATCACATCAGCAGGGTTTGTGATCTGTATCAGACACCAGTAGAGATGGATTTTCAAGGATAAAATGGCTCTGGTGGTATCAGAGTCTGGTGATGACCTCTACATGTAAAATGAGTAGGGCCATTTATGGCAACCTGAAATATGTGACCATGTGATGAGTAGGGCAATCTGGGGCAACCTGAAACATGTGACCATGTGATGAGTGGGGCAACCTGAAATATGTGACCATGTGATGAGTGGGGCAACCTGAAACCATGTGACCATGTGATGAGTGGGGCAACCTGAAACATGTGACCATGTGATGAGTAGGGCAACCTGAAACATGTGACCATGTGATGAGTGGGGCAACCTGAAACATGTGACCATGTGATGAGTGGGGCAACCTGAAACATGTGACCATGTGATGAGTGGGGCAACCTGAAACATGTGACCATGTGATGAGTGGGGCAACCTGAAACATGTGACCATGTGATGAGTGGGGCAACCTGAAACATGTGACCATGTAATGAGTGGGGCAACCTGAAACATGTGACCATGTGATGAGTGGGGCAACCTGAAACATGTGACCATGTGATGAGTGGGGCAACCTGAAACATGTGAATGATGTATCTAGACAACATGCTGACAGATAAAGAATTCAGTGAGTGAGTGAGTTAGTTTAGTTTTACGCTGCACTCAGCAATATTACAGCTATATGGCGGCTGTCTGTAAATAATCGAGTCTGGACCAGAATTCCAGTGATCAACAGCATGAGCATCATCTGCGCAGTTGGGATACGATGACATGTTTCAACCAAGTCAGCAAACCTAACTACCCAATCCCGTTAGTCGTCTCTTATGACAAGCATGGGTCACTGAAGATCAATTCTAAAAGGACCTTCGTGGGTTAAAAAAACACCTAAAAAAACAAAACAAAAGAACCCTCAGAGTTCATGGTACCAGGCCACAGATTTTAAATGGATACCCTACTCAGACTGCTCATACTGAATTAGACAACCAGATCCTACTTTTATTCCCATAATGTTGGCTGGCAGGCAGGGTAACAAGAAGTACCATTGTTGAATGTCTTTAGGTATGACACACCTGATGATGAGGCCACTGACCGTCTGCTCTCCTGGCAGACCTTCTGTTCACAAGATCACAGAGGTCCTTCACATTACAATAAAAGTGTGTATGGCCACTCACCGGTCGAAGTATCTTCATCACCTGGACGACATCAGCAGCCTCGCTGTTCTGCAGGGGCAGGGACAGCAGTGCCTTCATCACCAACTGATTCACGTCATTGATGGCGATGTTGTAGGCATGTCTGAGGAAAACCACATTAACATTAGGTTCTCAATGATACTGTGGACAGCAGACCAGTTAAATCATGACATCCAGGGTTGGAAATAACCCATTGCCCGACGTCCGAGTCCAGTGTTTTTTTCTGTCGGGCAAGCAAATTTGTATATCACACTGTACCGGTGTCCAGTTGACTTTCCAAAGTTAATTATGTTGTTTATTTGAAAAATCAACAAGAAAACAGACGGTATAGTGGAAAAATTATCAGGGCAAGTGATTTTACATGTGCCACTGTACTGGAGTACAAAAGCAATTTTAAAGTTATTTCCATCCCTGACATCACAGCTTTAATATTGGTGGAATAGTGTTGACAACATGGGATGTATGGTGCTGACAAGCTTAGAAACATTCAGGAAGAACTGGGTTCGAACCCATAATCACTTGTTCCTGGTGGTCCAAAGGGAGGCAACTCTGCTCATCACATTGAAGAGCCTTAAATGGTCACCAACGCCCCACCTTATAAGACAAGCATAAGATATTGGGAACCAGTTCTAACAACCCGGTGGTGGTATAATAAGGCCTGAGATGCATTACAACCTATAAGAAGACATTCAGATTGCTTACTTTAGTGAATTTATCTCCAGGATAATGTTGTCTGTGATGATGTTATCTTCCTTGGCTCGTATCAGAGTGTCGATCACTTCGGAGTAGAAATCTGAAACATTCACACAGAACATACACCTTGAATGAATGATCACACTAACAAACACGAGCAATTATTTGTTTGTTTGTTGTTTAATGCAAATTAACCAAGAACCAAAATACAAAAGGAAGTCGCATCTTACCCTGTTACTGCTGTCATGGCAACAGTCATCTCTCAAAACATTTGTAACCATGGTAACCACATTATGACCATCTTCTGTACCAATCTTCACGCAACACACTTCAAGACATCCTCAAGTTCATTCACTTCAAAACACTGTGCACACAAACCGTCTCTGATGACATCACACTAAAGATAACCGAAAACATTCCAAGAATTGTTCTGGAGAATGACTGTTTCCATGGCGACCGAAATGAAGCTGAGAATGACCCCGAGGAACATGAGGAGAGGGAGGTGACGAAGGAGGAACATCAGCCAGAAGAAGCAAACCGTGGCGGCGCCATGCATCAAGGCTTGAAACAGAACACCAGAAAACGTGACGGACTAGCGGTTCCCGCAACAATGGAATATGTTCAAACTCCAGGATATAAGTTAGGTATGTCAAACGAGCCCACCAAGATCCCGTTGACAAATGTCCCTCCAATATGTGCAAAAATATTATTTATTGCAAGTAACTTAAAGGCATTTGATTCCCTAATTCTTTTTGCAATTCGCAATTCTTTTTGTGTTCATTTTTCCTTATTAACTGATAAAGTGGGCGGGGCTTGCGTTGTATCATTATGATAAACGTTGTCACAGATTTTGTTTCTGTTATCTACAATTTTTGCATTTATACTTAAATAAGAAGTCAGTAAAGTTACTATTGTTGTTCAACATTCAATATAATTTGTGTTTATGAATGTATGAAAAAATAGGTTCAATAAAGTGAAAATTTTCTGAAATCAGTTCCTAATAAATGACACACAATAGGTAGATCTATCATTTACTAAAAATAATATCATCTATCATATGATAATGGAGAATGCCAAATTATCCAGCCAAACATACTGACGATAATATCACAATCGCAGTCATGTGCCCCCTGCCATACCCTGCCACCCCTGTCCTTTCAAAGAAGTCATAACCCACTATAACATTACATGGCTAATTACACAATATTTCATTCCCACTAAGCAAATAAGACATGACCTTTCAGAAAAACTTAAAAACAACTAAGTAACTGAAGCAGAAGATATATCATCTATTTCCTGAAACATCCTAATTTAAATGTTAATAGCAACCGTTGTAACAATGAAACCTGGTTCTTTTCTTATAAAAACTGATGGCAAAGCCGCAAGAAAGAAATAACCGATTTTCCAGTGATCATGACAGAGAACGAACCATGCCACAACTATATGCCAGTCTCATCCTCAATGGGGGCAGTGGGGTAGCCTAGTGGTTAAAGCGTTCACTCATCAAGCTGAAGGCCCGGTGTAACAGGCCAAACTTTCCCCCTGGCCAAACCTTCCCTGGTGAAACTTTGGCCTAGGACAATTCTCAAAGCTTATGTAGCAGGGTGTGGAGCCTTCCCTTAGATGACATCCTTTGTTCATGTTGACAAGATATTGGTTGACTTCTCTCACTCACTCATGATGTATGCCCCTGCAGTAGTTTCAAACTGACACCTTCCATTCCAGACTTTCATTTTAAAAATATCCAAACACACTTGAAAGCTAGGTGATTAACAATTGTGGAATGCCTCTTAGACTGCTAAGTCTTTACTGCAGTGCTTCTCATGGGCTGTGGAGAGTATCTTCTGTATCAAATGTAGACCATTGAAGTGCAAGATAGTGATGATGACCAGTGTGAACGCTGCCTGTTGGCCAGTGGCAAGTAGATTTTGTGTTGGGCCTACTTCAAGTAGTATGGGTCCACATCACTATCAGAAAATGTATGGATTTGCTTGTCACAATAAGCGGACTATTTCTTAAAATGAGGTGGTGAAGAGTTTAGTCAGTCCTCATGATGGTTTTATTTTGAACGCTCATTTTGACTGAATCATTCAACCCTGTAGTTCAGAATACCCCTGTCACATGAGAAAACACATTCAAATCTCGCTCTATACACATCACATACATATAAGACACACCATACAAACATGTGACCCATATACATAAACCCATCAAACCCACATTGTACATCACATGCATATACTGACAGAAACAAATAAAGGATCAGAGGAAAACGCAAGCGTTCCTTTATTGTTTTCCAGTTTTCATCACCACAGCGCTATTCAAAGCTGGTGATGAAAACTGGAAAATAATAAAGGAACGCTTGCATTTTCCTGCGATCCTTTATTTGTTTCTCTCAGTATATCACACAAACATCACACTTAATTCACACACAACCATGCACACACACCACACCCAATTCTCACACAACCATGGACACACATCTCACTTAATTCACACACAAACATGTACACACATCACACACATCCATGCACAGACATCACATCCAATTCACAGACAACGATGAACACACAAACATCGTACACATCACACACATCTATATATTACACGCCCAACCATGTATACACATCACAGGATGCCTTCTTGACCCGCAAGTCTAGTAGCACTGTTCAGCAGATAACCCAAATAAGAGATTCGACTCACTTCCAGCGTCGTCCGGTATAGGGCTGCCTGATGGAGAAATGTCATCCTGGTCCGTGGCGTCGCTGTCGATGCTGCTGATGTCATCGTCCTCCTCCTCCGACTGGATGGTCAGTCCCCACATGTCCTGGACCAAATCCTCATCCTCGTCATCCGATTCACAGCTTGCTCGGTACACAAACGCTTTGCTCTGACTGCCGAACTCTGGTGTCACATCTAGGTAAAAGCAATAATTACAATTACATATTTTGTTTGTTTGTTGTTCAGGGCCACACTGAGCAATATTCCAGCAATATGATGACAGAATATAAATGTTCAAATCTGATCCATATCCACTGATTGCTATCATGAGCATATCATCATCTTTTCCATAGTTTCCTCTTACAACCAGATTGATGCTCATGATTTCAAAATTTTACAACCAGCAAAGGTTCTATTCTACTTCAGAGCTCCAGATAAGATTTAGCTCATGTGGGTACTGTACCCACTGTATCTTTTTGGAGTGGGTATTATGAATGTTGAGTGGGTATTTCATTTTCCGTTACCCACTGCTTTCAAATATGTGCATATTTCAGTCATTTTACTCACCTAAGTATTATGTGACTGAGTAAGTTTACTAAGCAGGTATGATCTGCCTTATGTCATACCTAATCAAAACCAACTAAAATATAACACTAACAGTACAACTTGATAACAATTGATGTCTTTTTCATTACGCAAGCAATTTGTATAAATATATTCCGCACCCATTAGTTTTAAACTTTTTGTGTATCTAACATTTTAAATGCGTAATTGATAAGCAACAATTATTTTTCAATGCGTAATTTGGAAACTTTCTATGCGTATTTTACCCGGATACGCAGCTTATCTGGGCCTCTGCTACTTAAACCCAGAATCTTCATGTGGAATACCTCTTTTATTGAGCAATATTTTCCAAAGAAAGTTCCAATTTACCTCTGGACATATTAAACTCTATGGGGTCTGCCAACATTCTGACAGCTCATTTGTGCACAGGTGTTAAACGCCACTTCTTGGGGTAAGGGACTAGCATCATCAATCAGAACTTGGACTTATATATCTGACTGTCTGCAGTATCACTATCAAGCAGCACATGACTTTTTAACACCTGGAGTCAACTTTATCATATTTTATAGATGGCTGAGCAATGATAAGTGTAATGGAGAAGGGAGATAATTGAGAGTGGTATGTATGTGTTGTCTTTCTCTTAGTCTTTACAGTAGATGGACGGTGGAGTAGCTAATTGGGTAGAGCATTTGCAGGGGGTGGATACAGCTTCTTGAGAGGGAGGGAAAGAGGGAGAGGGAGAGGGAGAGGGAGAGGAGAGAGAGAGAGAGAGAGAGAGAGAGAGAGAGAGAGAGAGAGAGAGAGAGAGAGAGAGAGAGAGAGAGAGAGAGAGAGAGAGACAGAGAGAGAGAGAGTGGGTCATTTAACAAATCTTCTGGACAAAGGGTGGGTGCCGATCCACACATTCTCTGATACGCTTATGGTTTGCTTGTCATGTTAAAGGCTTGTGGTTCCTCAGCCCCTTTCTCATGCCCTCCACCATAATATTCCGAGTATTGAAACAAACAACAAGCACTTCCACAGAAACATTATCACTTGGCTGTTTATATTTATTTATTTTGAAAAATAATTCTGGAAGAAACAATTGTATGATTACCAGGTTCTGGGGGAGTCTCGTCTTCATCAGCAAATTCATCCACCTGCGGCTTACTGATCAGCTGACAACCAGCTGGTAGAGTCAGGGAAGGTCCAACTTTCACCTACAGGGCAAACAATGGTACAAGTACAGGGAACCAACCAACAGACCATGTGCCAGCGTAAAATATAACACACACCCATAGTTTGATCTTTTGGGATGTTTTTTTCCTGTAGCCCTTCCCACACCATAATATAATGTGTGACTGCCCTGACACTGCTTGCTTCAACCACCCCTGTTTGATTGTATGGTGACGTCACTGCCCTGCTCCACCCATGGTTTGAAATACCACTGACCGGATGGTGACTGCCCTGCCCCTCAGACCACAGGACCACCCCTGACTTGATGGTGTGCCCTGCCCCTCAGACCCCCAGACCACAGGACCACCCCTCAATCCACACCCCCTGATGGTGTCTGCCTGCCCTGCCCTCAGACCACAGGACCACCCCTGACCTGATGGTGTCTGCCCTGCTCCTCAGACCACAGGACCACCCCTGACCTGATGGTGTCTGCCCTGCCCCTCAACCACCGACCACCCCCTGACCCTGGTGTCTGCCCTGTCCCACAGACCACCCCCTGCCCCTCAGACCACTGGACTTGATGGTGTCTGCCCTGCCCCTCAGACCACAGGACCACCCCTGACTTGATGGTGACTGCCCTGCCCCTCAGACCACAGGACCACCCCTGACCTGATGGTGTCTGCCCTGCCCCTCAAACCACAGGACCACCCCTGACCTGATGGTGTCTGCCCTGCCCTTAGGACCACAGGACCACCCCTGACTTGATGGTGTCTGCCCTGCCCCTCAAACCACAGGACCACCCCTGACCTGATGGTGTCTGCCCTGCCCCTCAGACCACAGGACCACCCCTGACTTGATGGTGACTGCCCTACCCCTCAGACCCTTGGACCACCCTTGACTTGATGGTGACTGCCCTACCCCTCAAACCCTGGGACCACGGACCACAGATGGTGTGTCTGCCCTGCCCCTCAGACCACAGGACCACCCCTGACTTGATGGTGTCTGCCCTGCCCTCAGACCCTTGGACCACCCCTGACTTGATGGTGACTGCCCATCTCAATCAAAGACCATCCCTGGATGCCACTCACCTCCCACGCTAGGACCGCCCCTGGAGGAATGATGACTTCTTTGTGGACCTTGACGTCGCTACAGAGGAGAGCCGTCTCGATGACACAGTTGTCTTCCACCACCACACCATCCCACAGGTAACTACCCACTATCTTCACATTCTCACCTGTCAAACAGTCAACAATACATTAGTCTTCAAGTCGGTGACATTACACCCCACAATATGAGTGAATACTATGCCAGGTCAAGATCAGTCATACTGCACCTAATCGTTAAAACACACAGACAGTTACCAGTACATCACTTCCAAAGTACAAGTCCGGTGTTAGTCACTTCAGAAATTTTATCAAAATATATTCAGCTTGAGTGGCTATCATGTCTTATTCATCAATAAGTTTTGTAGTTTAATTAAACTAAACCATATAAGTACATGCTGATTTAAATATACCACAACTTACTAGCATTGGGAAGACTCTTTCCGGTTTGGGGTTGCTGACACATGTGACTATATCGGAGTCAGTGATCAAACGTGGACAACATACAAACATCAACTGATCATTGCACTATGATCATCTTAGTTCAAAATTTATCACATACTGTATACAATAACTGTACTGTTACATTTATTGGTGCAAGGGCATCCTGAATGACAAGGTCACCAACCTATCTGACAGTTTTTCCCTATAACCGAGTTGCTTATGTGTGTGTTATTCCCAACTGACGTTCCGCTTCCGATCACAACATTCTCGGCCAGGACACAACCTCTGTAATGACAGCGCCATGGAATTACTTCACAGCAAGCACAAAGACATCAATAAAACAACTTACCATGCTTGCTTTGAGACAATAATGAAGAAAACGATAACAGTCAAGATGTACATCAATAAAAATAAATAAACAACAAGGTGACCTTTAAGATAAGGTCAAGGTCACCCAAATCAACTGGTGTCTGCGTAATCCAACAATGAAGGTTGTCACCAAATTTGAAGACATTGGGTACAACATTTCATGAGATATCGCGTTAACAAGAGTTTGAAAAGTGGTCAAAGTGCTGTGGTGAGCTTGAAAATAAGGTCAAGGTCACCCAAATCAACTGGTGTCTGCGTAATCCCCCAATGTAGGCTGTCACCAAATTTGAAGACATTGAGTACAACAGTTCATGAGATATCACACTAACAAGCGTTTGAAAAGTGGTCAAAGTGTCGTGGTGACCTTGAAAATAAGGTCATGGTCACCCAAATCAACTGGTGTCTGCGTAATCCCCGAATGTAGGCTGTCACCAAATTTGAAGACATTGGGTACAACATTTTATGAGATATCGTGTTAACGAGAATTTGAAAAGTGGTCAAAGTGTCGTGGTGAGCTTGAAAATATTGTCAAGGTCACCAAAATCAACTGATTTCTGCATAATCTCCCAATGTAGACTGTCACCAAATTTGAAGACATTGGGTACAACAGTTCATCAGATATTGCGTTAACAAGAATCGGGACGTACGGACGTACGCCGCTGAATACATAGTCCCCCATTCCGCGTTGCGGCAGCGGACAATAATAAAAAAAATAAAATAATAATAATAGATAATTAAAACTAACTAACTTAGACTACACTAGACTAGAAATGAAATGAAATGAAGTAAAATAAGCAATCTGGGCTATGGTACAAGGACCAGACCCCTTTTTTAACAACACTGTATGACTGTCATAAGCCTAATGAATTTACTGTATGGGAGGTACAATCATCTTAGTGCTACAATCACTTCAAGGGATGGGACCCCGAAGCCATAGAAGGTAAGGGAGGCAACTCTGTAACAGAGGTAGTGTGTTATGTCTTTCTTTGTTACATTCAATATATATACATCCTTTCCACTTCATGTTACATTCAATATATATACATCCTCTCCACTTCATGTTACATTCAGTATATATACATCCTCTGCACTTAATGTTACATTCAGTATATATACATCCTCTCCACTACATGTTACATTCCTACTTGAAAATGGTACAAGAAACCTCACACTCACACAATAAAAGAAGTTGTTACCGTAAAGTTTGTCAATAGTGTACTTCAGTGTGGCTGGGGCAGAAAATAGTGGCCGTGAAAATTGACAATTGTGAGCTGAGTAAGTTTAGCAGTTATTGGCTGTTGTTTGTTGTCCTTGAATATCAAATAAGATTTGCAACATTTATGTATTTTAAGGGACTGCATTTCTCAATGTAAAATTCACAACAAAACTTCACTTCTTAATTTGGCCAAATGCTAATGTTTAATTCAAACAACAGTAGTTTCTTAGAGGCCTTTTCCCCCATGTTTCAACTCATACCTGGCTAATGTGATGTCTTTACTGAGATACACGTTGTGTCTTCCATATGACATGACGTCACGTTCCAGGGACGTCATGTAGCCATCGGGCACCAGGGGATATGTCCACCGACTCATCACATCATGGCTGAAACACAAGACAAGTGCTCGATGTTGAATAACATCACTGCTGAGAGAGGCATTTTAGAAGTAATCATTACAAGGAGTGAAATACACAATGCAATTTCAGAAAGTGGCCATATGTATCCGGGATTCAGCATGTGTGTGGGTTCGAATCCTGAAGGTGTAATCCCAAATATAACATATGTTACATTACAAGGAGTAAATATGTTAACAAATATCTAATATACTCGATATTTATGTTTCTCTCCATTACATTATATTAGTTCATCTAGCTGTTGAACTCAACACGTAAAGAAAACACTTCTATAAACCAAACATCTCCACCATCAGCCATGATGTCACTAAAGCTCAGCTCAATAATTTCGTTTTTATCAGGTGATCAAGTGTAAGGAGTAGACATGAAACTGAGGAAAATTGTGTATTTATCATTAAAAAACGCAGTCTGAAGAAGAGAGGTGACGGAAAAGTCACAACATTAATGAACAAGCAGTTGTCACTAAGGTGACATAATCCCCCGTCGTAAATTATCAAATCAAACTTAATGAAAGTGAAGGTCGTAGTTTAAGATGAAGTTAAATGTCAACAAAAACATGACCAGTCAACCTCTCTTGATATCTTGCTCTGTAGCTGTTCAAACACACCAATATTTTCAAGACTCACTATGACTTTGACATGAGTGAGTGAGTTTAGTTTTACGCCGCACTCAGCAATATTCCAGCTATATGGCGGCGGTCTGTAAATAATCGAGTCTGGACCAGACAATCCAGTGATCAACAGCATGAGCATCGATCTGCGCAATTGGGAACCGATGACATTTGTCAACCAAGTCAGCGAAACTGACCACCCGATCCCGTTAGTCGCCTCTTACGACAAGATAGTCGCCTTGTTATGGCAAGCACATGGGTTGCTGAAGACCTATTCTACCCCGGATCTTCACGGGTCACTTTGACATGAATGTCATGGTGAATGAAATATGCAAAAAATAGTAACAAAGAAATTGCTTATCAAAAAACATTCAAGAGAAGTCTTGAAAGTCTATGAAGAAAATCCAGTGAACTGTTCTTGAGATATGTTGCTGACAATCTTAACATACTGAAATCTTCAAATTGTTGCTGTGACCTTGAAAATTACATGAAAGTCCCCATCGACTGGGCCCTGCACTTTCCCTTGATGAAGCTTGGTGTCAAATATGAAGAAAATCCAGTGAACGGTTCTTGAGATATCTTGCTGACAAGGGTAAAACATTTAAGTCCCCTTGTGACCTTGATATGAAGGTCAAGGTCACCAAACCAGACTGGGACCTTTCGCATACAGTGATGAACCTAGGTACCAAAATGAAAAGAATCTAGTCAATGGTCCTTAAGATATTCCAATTCATATGTACATATGAACAGACAGACGGACGGAGCCTAATACTATATCCCTCGTTTTACGCTTAACATGCAGCGGGGGATAATGACATTTTTCCGAAACACGTTCAATACATATTGCCCAAGCGAATAAAGACGAACCATACATACAGTATTTGTTTCTTTATCACTCATCTTGAAAGGAATTCAACTTGAAAAAAGTCTGAAAGGACGGTACACAAGTCTTCACTGCATACCGACAGCATGGAAAGTGACTAGCAAGGTTAGAGTTACCTTCTCTTGCCTGCAGACCAGGTGCAGCCCTGCAGGGGTGGTCAAACAAGACAAAAGCAAGATTTTTGTTTTGTAAATATATCATTCAAAATATAGTTACAACTGTCCTAGGAATTTTTAATGGACATAAAAATGCTAATAAGTACCCCAAGGATGACCTCTTCTGAAAAAGAATGTGCAGTGATATTGAAAGTGAATTTTGCTGATTAAACAACTCACCTTACTGCATCGTACATCTGCAGGTTGGATATTCTGGCAGCATACTCATCCCTCACAACAGCCAAGTGTATTGTGTTTCCAAGAATCTGTAACCATGGTAACAGAACTTGAATAACACTTTAAATTTACATAAATAATGAATACATCCAGTGAGTGAGTTTCTGGTTTACACCACTTTTAGCAATATTCCAGCAATATCACGGCGGGGAACACCAGAAATGGGCTTCACACATTGTGCCCATGTGGGGATTCGAACCCGGGTCTTCGACGTGACAAGCCAACGCTTAAACCATTAGGCTACCCCACCGCACCAGGACAAGCCTAGACTACAAGAGACCAAAGGTATATGTTTCGGGAAATTCTCCACGACCATGTCAAATGCTTACCTCTTCACTTATGAGAATTCCACGGACAAAGTCATCGCGAGATTGGTAGTCGAAGTTGTCCGTGTAGAGTTGTGGTACGAGGGGCGTACAGATGCACACCTGCGAATCTAGCATGTCATACCTCACGTCCACATCTGTGTGCTCCACAAACACGCTCTGTGAAAAACAGAAACAATCAATATGGGACTCAGGAAAATACTGAAAAAAGCATTTAAAAAGACAGGTGAGGTGAATTGTCGCTCGATGATGCTGTTGAACAGTGAATGGGTGAGTGAGTGAGTTTAGTTTTAAGCAGCTTTTAGCAACTTCAAACAATATCACAGTGGGGATGCCAGAAATGGGATTCACATGGTACCAATGTTGGGAATAGAACCTGGGTCTTCAGTGTGACGAGTGAATGCTTTAAGCACTAGGCTACCCACTGCTCCATGTTGAAAAGGTTTAGGTTATCGCACATATCAATGATGTACCTGCATGTATTTGTGTGGCAACGTGAACTCATCTTGATGAGCCGGATGAGACACAGTGTACTGAGTCCTGGTTGACAGTCCCTGTCTTATTCCTTTAACACTGAGCACCAGGATACTATACCTTAACATCTTTATTATGGCAGATTTACAGGACGTGAATTCCTGAGTCCTATACAAATAAAAATTGACAATGGACGCAACGAAATTTATTACCACAACCACAGGGACGCAGAAAAAGTCAAAATACTTTTTGTAAAAGTTCCAATCAAGTAACAATAAGTTATCACTGAGTTTGCTGAGTTATGGTATCATTTGCAATTACTGTAACAATGTGATGATCATGATACACAATACAATAACAGTATTAATAATAATATTTAAGTGTCCAGGACCTCTGAAAATTAAGAGTATGAGTCCAAGGGACCCTCAGATACAGGACTCAAGGTAAATCCCTGTTATGGCCTTCTGTTCTCCATGTAGACGGTCAAGGCATTGATTAAAAACCTTCTGTTCTCGGAGTGGATGTTCAAATCAAAAGATCACGGAGAAAGTCAAGGCATTTAATCAACAACCTTCTGTTCCCTGAGCAGAGGCTCTATCTACTAGATGACGAAAGCAGTCTCGGGCGTCACAAAGGTGTCAGCAGGCAAACACTTTATCCACTAGGCCATGAATACTTATTTACAGACTAGCAGACTTCATCAAACAAAACCCGTGAAGGTCCGGGTTAGAATGAACCTTCAGTAACCCATGCTTGTCGTAAGAGGCGACTAACGGGATCGGGTGGTCAGGCTCACTGACTTGGTTGACACATGTCATCGGTTCCCAATTGCGCAGATCGATGCTCATGCTGTTGATCACTGGATTGTCTGGTCCAGACTCGATTATTTACAGACCGCTGCCGTATAGCTGGAATATTGCTGAGTGCAGCGTAAAACTAAACTCACTTACTCACTCATCAAACAAACAAATGAATATTACATCCTGAATGTAAAACCTATTAACTTCCAACACTGTAATAAGTTTATTGATCTCTGCAACTTACCACTGGTATATGAAACTTGTTTTGCTGGTATGCCTTTTGATAATGCAGAACCCTGTTTGTGTCACTCTCCACTGCAACAAGGATTTCGTCCTCGCTGCAGCGTGTACGGTGTCCCGGTGGGGCCTTCTTGCACACCAGCGTCATCACACTTGACTTGTCCTTCTCTCGTCGTTTCCTGGAACAAAGACACAAACCTTCAATGCTTGAAACTACATGCCTATGTACACATCACCAATACACAGATCCTACCATTCTCAAGTGATCACTATAATTTGTGGAACTGAAGCTGTATCTGTAATGTGGAATTAAAATATTCATAATGGCTGTATCCAACAGCTTTCTGTCTGGTGTACACAAGTTTTCCCCTGTGCAATCTACCAATTTTTAAGTTGAACATGTTAAGAAACACCAAGCATGATATACTAGTATTAGTAGAATTTTAAAGCAATGATCTTAAGTTCCTTTCTACAGAATCTTTTTCTGGTAATCAAAATTTGGTTTATCTACTGTCATGTACAGTATTCAGATACAATAATAAGTGAACTGTCAACCATTCACCAATAACAACTTAAAGGCTTGCCAAGGTTTCATTATTTTTATTGTAAAAGCAAACTACTGATAAACAATGGGTTCAGGTGAGCTAAAAATACCCCAAAGAATGCAGCAGCGTAACCATAGAAGTTAACCACTAGTTGACATCTACAAACATGGAGCTGAATCTTATCAAAGCGAAAAAGGGATTAACAACTTAGGATCCAGGCTTGGCTAAGGGAGGCAACTCTAGACTTCTGGTTTCTTAAACCACTTGGACATATTATCAATGCAGAAGCAGCTGAATATAACAGATCAACCAAACTGGAAGTAATTTTATGGATTGTGAAATCCTTACAAAATTAATATACACATTGTAATTCTAGATTGACATTTACTTGTGCTCTTCTAGTATTTTCTTCAAGTTGATGTTGGCGACGATATCTCCTGAAACGAGGATGAAGTCACTTCTGACAAGGGACTTGCTGTCGATCTCTCGCAGAGCATCTCCAACTGACATGCATCCATCTGACAGTATCGGGCTGACCTGCATTGGCGATGAACTATCATTCCATTTGGAATTTCTGAAATAAAACACACAATGTATATGATGACCTTGTGGCTTGATGAGATGCCGATGTTGCCAGGTAGTCTGTCATACAGAACCTGGATCAAATATACACAGCCCATGCAAATATAGAATATGTGGCAAGTCTAGATTACCAGTAATACCACTGATTCAGGAAAATGAAGACATCATTGGGCTCCTTTTAATTTAATTTTATTTAATTTAGGAACCATTTTCCTGTAAAATGTGTTCATTTCAGAGACTGGATGTTAGTCTTGAGGTCAGCTGAAATGGGGTTTAACTATGGCTGGCTATCGATCAAGATTATTGATTATCGATAAATATCGGAGTAGTAACTTTGACAAAAATGCCTAAAAATGTTTGGTGAGTGGTGATATATTTACGAGTATGCATGGATTACTAACAAAACAGCATCCTGAACATAATTTTGAAGCAATCCATGAATAAAATACAACTTTGTGTATTGTGTGAGTGAGACTTTACTCTAGCACCAAATTGTATGCATGATATTATTGATGTCACAATTTTCATATCGATAATCATTAATGTTTTAATTGATGTTCATAATTGATGTCTAGGGGTGGTGGTGATGATTTTTGTGGAGAAGCATGTAAAATGTGAATTAACACCACCGCAAAAATTTCATTTAAAAATAAGTGCAAAACATATGATGTACAGAAATTACCAATGTTTTGCGAATGCAAATCGATGTAGGGGACATAACTCTAAATTTGTTTTTCTTGTCGCCTGCTAGATTTTATGTCATCTGAAAATCTAGTATTGGCCAATTGCCTAACTCTGGTACTCCGATATGATCTGATACCCTTGCTTCAAACAGTTCAAAATTAACATTGAGGTGTTTGGAAAGATAAATACGTTGTTCACGGTCCTGATAACACCAAAGAGGGTTGGGGTGTTGCATCTCTTTAACATTGTTTTGTATGATGAGAATTTGGGATCACCAGCATACCATGCAGGTGGTCTTTTCCTTGAGGGACAGTTTAGAAATGACCTACTTGATGTGTGTCCTGATCTGGTCAGCCAGATGGCAGCAGAACACAAACACCTCCTGGACTCCTGCTGCATACAGGAACTCCAGTGTGTAGTCCAGCAGTGGGACATTCACCAGCGGCAGGAGAGTCTGGTAAATAGAACAATAGTGTACACATGGAATGACCTTACCTTGAACTTAATGAATATTTAATCATCTTATGTTATATTTGGGACTACACTTTTTGGTAAAGCACAGATTCTAGTAAGTTTTGGGGTGGAGTCCCTTGTGAGATCTCCCACACTTTCGAGTCATGGTAAGGATCTTAATCACCATCTCACAACGTCAGCAGTCCACCCACACAGCCACATCTTCAAAGAAAATGGATGTCGGACAAGTGCTAGCCTTGAATCTGTGGCATTAAACAACAAACCGACCAACCACTGCAATAAAAATATCGTTTACACATGCACATTATGGCAAACAATAAGGTGCTGATAAAAAAAAATGAACACTAATTATTTGTCATAGAGATAGCCCTCATGGTCCCATAGTAAACTGTAGGCTGATTTAGTGATTAGACTACCCGGATAGTCTTTCCTAATTTCAAGGTGCCAGTGTAAGCTCAATCCTTCCTATACCAAATGTAAATGACAAAAATGGGTAAGAGTTCCCCACGTAACCCCTGCTTGAAATGTAATCTGTTTATTATGATTATTTCAAAGGGTTAGGGTTTAGGTTTAGGGTTTAGATTTAGCATTATGTTAGGTTTAAGGTTTGGGTTACGGTTGGCTTTCTATAGGCATTAAAGGATAAAAAAACAACGGGGCTTACGGGTGGAAATCTTTCCACTGACTGGACTGATTTGGTTTTACGCAAATATTCCAGCAACATCACGAACACCAGAAATGGGCTTCACACATTGGAAATCTTTCCAAAAAATGTGTGCTAGTACACCCTACAAGATTTCTAAATGCATCAGTTCCCATGTGACAAACAGGGTAAAGATTGAATCTGTAGAACTTTGGCTATTTGTGTCCATATGCTGACAAAATCTAAATTCATGATCACATTGAGTGAGTCAATTCAAACAACAACAATAAAAACCAACAAATTGTTGCAGGTAAAATTGACGCACAATGTCAGCTATTTGTTTGAAAATGGCATTATAATGAAACAGGCAGCATTTTCGATGTTATGCTACAGAAATATTATATTGAACGATTGCCATCTCGATCAGATTTGATAGAATGTGTGACTTGGGAAAACAATATGTCTGTCAGTTCATTATGTGGTGTACGTAGAAACCTCCTTTCAGTTACCCGTGGACGTCTCTGTGTGACTGGTCCAAACCGAACATTGAAACTGTCAGCGATTACAACAGCTTGTAAAATATCTTCTTGTTTCAAGTCCTCACGTTGACTTGTTTTCCCTTTTGGAGCCATTTTGTTTCATCAGGTAGACCAGTCTATGACGGAGGGGTTGGGGTTTGAAGGCGTTCACGCGACTTATTTCTTGAGCATTTTATTGTCTATAAAATAAGTAGAAAGATTAATCTATGATGAAACACAACAAATTTGTCAAATACAAAATTAGTATGCTGATACACACTGGACATATCTCGAATGTTTTCGTTACACTATAAGAAATATTTCCCCTATTTGTGAAATAGACTTAACCCCAAGGGAGGTAACTCTAATCGATTTCCGGTTCTTCTTCGGCACATTTTGGTTCGAAGGAAAGATTGGCCCTAAACGACAAGACTTGTAAGTCTGCTGGAAGAAGTGAGTATATTTAGATATCATGCTTATGTTCATATTGTGTTAAAGGATTTTGTGAATGTAAACCAAAAAACGTCTAATAAGTAAGAAATATTTTTCATGATAGGGCTAACAAGACCCGAACAGGGCCAAACAAAATAAAGTTGCCACACCCAATTCTGTCACACAAAAGTATCTAAGACGGCATACAGTTCGCTGTTTTCCTGACACAGCCTTATGCCTCTGTGCTGGTTGGCTATGTCATTCTGGTCATGCGTCACTGATCTCTTATTCATTCACTGTCAATCAGCCTTCTCAATGAATTTCAGTCCAAGGGACGTCGGTACTTTTACCGTTATTTTTAGGGTCTACTTTTAACCTCTTTTATCCATTAACTGCTCCTCTTGTAATTCCACCACTGTGGCTTTGCTCCAGTGGTATGATATTGGCTAATAACCTTGCAAGTTGTGCACTAAACCAAACATTGCAATTTGACCCAACTTGGCCTCAAAGGGCACTAATTGGAATAGGCCTCAGTTCACCACTACCGCCAAGACAGTTTCCTGTGCAATGTCTCTTTAAATGACTTCACTTTCTTCTCCGACTATATGATCTCTACTGTATTGAGACCACAGATATCACTGAGGACCTATTATCATGATTATCAACACCTTGTTTTCAAGTACACATGCTTTCAGTTACGATGATGAATAGATTAGAGTTATTTCCCTTTATAGTATTATCAGCTCAATAGTATATCTCACAATAGCGTAACCTGGTGTCGTTCAGAGAGTCGCATATTTGTACATTTAAACTGAAGTAACGAGTCATCAATCTTAATTTGTTCTCATCTTAATATCCAGTGCTCAGGACACTAACTTAGTGACATGATTAGGCAGATTAAACCCTGAATTGTGTCTGCACACCTGTATGTAAAATTATAATGGAACTGACTAAGCGTTGCTAATTGTGTACAGTTAGTGTTAATGCCTACCAAGTATTTCTTGTGGCTATTAGTGGTGGTCTGATTAATAGAAATAATCGAAGATTGGTCGCAATGACTAAACGACTAAGCAATCGATCATGTTTTCTCATAATCAAACACAAATAATTTTGGAACACCTGTTTCCATCAGCAACATTTTTCACAAGGTTGGTTTTGTCTGTTGCAATTCATAAGCACTACAAGCTCGTTCCTTGTCATGATAGAATTTATCTTAAAGTTAAAGACTCCAGGAAATTTATGTTCCTAACATACTTGTCATAGTGAAATTTGTAAATGCATTTTGTGCAATTTGCAAAAACCCAGAAAAGAACTACTAAGGTTTTTCTATATTTTTGTGCATTAATAAACATAACCATGATAATTTGATATATGACGCTAACCAATTACTTTGGATGATTGATTGGTTGTAATGAACCAATCATCAATTGTGAGATTTTAACCAATTCCCAACACTAGTGGCTATACAGCTACAGTTGCTCATAACTCTTATAGCATTCTGACAGGAAACTGACTTGTTAGCAAGCAGATACTGACTTCAAACACTGATTGTGCCCAAGATGTTTATCATGTTCTAACAGTAACACATGAAATGGGAGATAAGATTCCATGACAAGGACACACCTAGCTGTATTAGGCCTCAAGAGATAACGATAGTCGGATGTCATAGAAAACTGGAAGTTTGTGTAACAGAAATTGGAAAATTATTATGTACTATTAGTGGTGTGAAGATTCATCGATACACATCGATGCATCGATTCATGGGCCGCCGATACAGTGAGTTGATACAAAGTTTTACATTGTCGTATATCCCGATACGATACTTCAAATGGGCCACAATACATCGATGTTTAACTTTGAATATTGACGAATCACGATATCTGTCAAGAAAAAAGACTTACTTTGTTTGATGATTAAAATATTTGCTTACTTATTTTCCCTTCATAAGTACACGTTTTCTCGGAAATTCTTGCCTCAAGAATTGTGTCAGACATAGCACTCGCATGTTATTAACATTCACAAAGTCCGTGTATAAACTTAATTATCTCGTTTCCGAATGAACATTGAAAAACGCTGGCAGAATTTGACGAAATACTTTAAAATGGTTTTGTTTTGATCTTAAGGTGTTTTTCAGTTGGTGTTAGAATGAAAGATTTTAGTATCGTGATATGTATCGTATCGCCACCCTTATATCGGGATTCGTATCTTATCGCAGTTTCAGTGCACAATACCTTGTCAATATATCGTTGTGACTTTTATTTTAGCATCATGATGTATCGTATCCTTGTATGCCAATACCAGCACTATGTACTATATGGTATATCAAGTTGCCTTTCTATTGAGCCTGTTTGGAGATACTTCTGTACCCTTAGCCCAATCCACAAGGGGACTTGTGCTAAGGTGATCATCATTCCTTTACTTACACATTGGCTTAATAAAATGTAATCAATACTATAACTGTGTAGCATAGTAATAATATACAAAATTTGTATTGCTCCCTATTTGATTTAGGAACTAAAACACACTAAGGCGCTTTATTGAAAAGAGTCACAAATGCTATTGAGTGTAGGTTGATGGGTTTTTATGTTGAGTTTCTCAGGGTGGATGGTAGATCATTCCAGTGTTGCTGCAATCTGGCACCATACCTTACACTTACAGTTCGTGTTTTGGGCACAGTGATCAGAGATGCAGATTGTGATCGAAGAGAGCATCAGTTCTATGTGTAAGAAATCAGAGATGCAAGAACACAACAATCCATTCCTACAGAGAAATGTACTGCTACAACTTAATCTGCATTTAGATGATTTCAAACAAGGGTTTGCATTTCTCCTTTGAATTTGCTGAATTCCATCACTGTTTTATTTTTATTTTTGTTATAATTTTATTGTTCTTAAGGATATTTTACAGACTATTCAGAAAACTCAACAAAGGACATTCAGGTTAGAATTCAACAAGCATATGATTTACAAATTATGTGAACAGTTCATGACATGAAGACGAAAACTTATAAAAGTCGCTGATATTACACTCCATTAGAGAAGAGCATTTTGTTATCATATAATAATGTCTAATTTCATTCATGGAAAGGTGGCACAATGTTTTTTAATCTGCTTCCAAAAGTTAGGTTTTTAAAGATAATAATACTAATATTGAGAGGGTTATTTTTTTTGTCTGTGAAACCAAGCAATACTTGTATTTTGTTGTTGATATTTTGATATTGATAAGAGCTTTATGATTTAACCAGATTTCAAGTTTTTGCCAGATATGGTTAACTTTACTGCAAGACCAGAAAATGTGATTAAGTGTCTCAATTTCGTCTTGGCTTTGAATTACTTATATCCCCAATCTTAAATATCTTTATATTTGTCAGTAAGATGTGATGTAGTATTCTATATTGGAACCATTGTAGTTTACTGTCATTGGTGCATCTAAATGGCATTTTGTTATAATTTTTCCAGTCGTCAGATAAGGCTTCGTTGTTTAAGATAGTTTGCTCCCATTTTTGGCAATGTAAATTTTTTGTAGTAACATCTGACAATAATGTTCTGTAAAATGTTGTGTCCCTTTGTTATCCCCGCACGTAATGTTGAGGGGGGCATATAGTCGACGCCTTTGTCCGCCTGTCCGTCCGTAATCATTTTGTTTCCAGAGCATAACTCAAAACCCGTCTAATATTTTTAAACAAAACTTGGTAGATATATCAAACAGATCCTTAAGTGGTGCCTTTTACTATTTGCAGATTTTTGGCATTTTTATTTTTCCTGGTTTCCATGGAAACAATTTGGACTTAGTCCCAAAAGGGAGGGTGGGCTTCGCTTCCGAACATAACTCAAGAACCGTTCCATATTTTTCAACAAAACTTGGTAGATATATCAAACAGAACCTTAAGTGGTGCCTTTTGCTATTTGCAGATTTTATGCATTTTTATTTTAACCGGTTTCCATGGAAACGATTTGGACTTAGTCCTAAAAGGGAGGGGTGGGTTTAGTTTCCGAGCACAACTGGAAAACGTCTTAATATCTTTCAGCAAAACTTGGCAGATATGTGAGGCAGATCCCAAAGTGGTGCCTTTTGCTATTTGGCAGTCCCAAAAGGGAGGGGTTGGCTTCATTTCCGGTGCACAACTCAAAAAGCTTTCAGTATCTTTCAACAGAACTTGGCAGATATATTAGGCAGATTTTGAAATGGTGCCTTTTGCTATTTACAGATTTTTGGCATTTATATTTCTCATGATTTTCATGAAAACGATTTCGACTTAGTTTGAAAAAAGTCAAGCTGGACTTTAAGTAACTGTCAGATGATTTGTTCTTTCATAGATGTGGGGGCCGGGGGGATATGTCATCTTCTGATGACTCTTGTTTTATATTTGCTGGTAAAGTTGGGTATGGTATTTTTGACAAAGTCTTAAAATCTATGTTAAGTGTTTTCAAATATGACTTTACTGATCTAATGAGACCAGTAAATGTTAGAAAATCAGTTTTTAGATTGTAATGTTTTACAAAGCTTTCAAAGCAGTATATGTTATCATTTAAGTCAAGTAATTCTAACACTGTTGAAAAGCCAATGAACTCAGTTGTCAGCACAGTAACATACTATGGCAATGAGCAGTATACAAGCCAGGTAGCATATGTTGACATTGTCAGTTATTCAGGTATTAAATCTCCCTTCTGTCATAACAATAAAACCATGAATTCATTTGCCAGTATGCCTTGCTTG